AAAAACTGGTTGCAAATACAAAACCGGACTTTTTAGGGGAGAATTGATTCCACCTCCCTGGCTGGGGCCAGGCCCCTGTGCATATCCTGCAGAAGAAGGGGACAGTGGATCAAGACTGGCTGGGTGGCAGCCCTCTCCCTGAGAGAGCAGAGACAGACGCATTTTCTAGCTGGGATGGACAAAGATCAGCCTGAGCTCCAGCCTGCTGTAAGGACAGATAGTGGGCTGTGGGGTCCAAAATCCCTAGGTTCCGGTCCTGGCCCCACTAACTACGAGCCACGTGACCTGGTGCAGGTTCAAAGACTCTGGAGATCACTTCCCCACTGACACAGTGGAAGTCACACTTACTGCATGAGGATGACACCATCCGCGGTGCAAATCGCACCCACACGTGGGAGGCGTTCAGGAAAGGGTGGGCTACTCTGATCTGCAGTCCGTATTTTTATGACAATGACAGGGGTTGGCCATTCCCAAGGGGCAACACTGAGGTGCCAGGCTGTGAATGAGATCAACCAAAACTTTGGGTCCTGACCCATTTGGCCTTCATTCGCTCACTCTGGGAGCACTCTCGGAGGGCCTGCGTGTGGCTACTCTGGGTTAGGCACCGGGCTGGCCACTGGGAACACGTGAACACACCTAGTCCCTTTCCTCGGGAGAGAGGTCACAAACCAGTAACAGATAAACAGCCAGGTGCCAGGGCCCTGAAGGGCTGGGGAGGGGCATGAGGGCAGAGGGGCTGCTCAGAGGGGTCCTGGGGAGCTCACGCACCACCTGAGACTCGAAGGAGAGAAGGGGCGGGCCATGCCGTGCAGGGGTGGCAGAAAGCAGCACCAGGCCCTGCTCTCGGATCTGGAACCGGCCGCCAGGCTGGGAGGGGCGCTGCGGAGGGGGCAGGTGAGGGGACTGGGCCCATGAGGCCACGGGCAGGATCTGAATTGTTACGCTGAGAACAAGGGACAGGCACAGAAGGGGCTTAGGCAGCATGAGCAGCACGGCCAGGTTTACTCTTCTGAACTAGAGGACTTACGGGTGGGTCAGATGTCAAAGGAGAGGAAAGAGGAGACTCTCACGCCACTTCCAGCTGCCCCTGCCCAGTGGCTACGTGGGAATTGGGAGGCAGCCCCCTTCCCCCAGGTGATGCAGTGCCAGGAACACCCCTCCAGCCACACACCCAGCGCCACCTGCGAGACCCTCACTCAGAGCCCCCGAGAAGAGAGACCCCCAGGTTTCTGCTTGAGCAACTTTGGACTTGCGAAGGTTGCGGTGCCTGTGGGAATCCAAGTGGAGCCCCGGGCTCTGCCCAAGGTTTGGGGACCATTTCAACATGGTGATTCTGTACGGGGAGGTTCCTTCCCTCCCTGCCCAGGCACCGGCCTTTTTACAGGGCTCACTGTGTTGTATGCAATTAGCCTTGTGAAGAAAAGCAAGAAAAGTTTTAAAACCCTGGAAGCCATTAGTTTCTAGGTGCAAGACCATTTAGTGCTTAAATAAATGCAAGTTCTAGAAGTCCGCAGCTGAAGCGAAAGTAAATAATGACAGAATGTGAGTGTGAGTCATGACTGCCCGGCCTAGCAGTTTGCAAAGCTCGTAAACAAAGCGTCCTCCCAAATTGAGAGCCGGGGCCTGGGAGCTGGGTACCAATTAATCAGCCCCCAACTCTGTAACACACAAAAGGACACATGTCCTTGCTAGCAGAGCCATGAGGGGGAACTTAGCTCACTGACCGTTACTCTGTTATCTGGAGTTCACCTGAGACTGAAAGAAAAAGCCTGTGTCCGGAAGAACCGCGTGCTCGCTTGTGTTTTTTGACAGAAATCCCTTCACTGCCAGTGTCAACATGAAGCTTCACATCCTGATGTTTAGGGAAAAGGCAAACCAACCCAGCTGTACACTTAAAAGACGAGTTCAACCAGCCACCCCATCGGACCCCAGCCCTGGGCTTCCCGGGGCCCTGTCCAGGCAGGGGATAGACCAAAAAAGGAGCTGGGTCAGGGGACAGGTTTGGCTCCAGCCTGAGAGCCTGCCACTCACAACCACACGCTCACATGAGTCACATCATTCGTTTTGCTGTTCCTATCTCTAAAACAGGAGGAATAGCTGCTCCCCCGTTTTGCGAGGTTTTGTGTGTGAAGCGATTGGAAAGGAGTGCTTGGGAAGGTGTTCTGCGAGTGTGCGGCGATTCCCATCACACCCCAGAGGGGAGTTCTGCAGTTGAGAAGGCAGGACAATGTGGGGAGGAAACGGACCACAACTTACTCTCAGAAAGCCGGGCAGGTCAGCAAAGTGGACTTGGAGGTACAATTAATGACTGCAAAGTCACGGAGGACGAGGTCGCCAAGGCTGTACTCTCTGCTTACATGAGAACTGGAGATCAGGGCACAAACTATGGAGCTAGTGGATAACATAAATATGTGAGTGGCCTGCTATAAGGCAATAGGGAATGGTAGGGCCTGTGGCTAACTGGAGATTACACTCATGATCTGTGTCAGGTATTTGCAGTGAAATATTGAAAACATATGCCTCATCAAACACAACAAAATGCATCTAGGGCCTGCAGGCTAAGAGTCTGAGGCCCCTACAGACTGTTGTATTAAGCATGTTATTTTATTCTGATGCTTTGACATCTGGGGCCTTACTGATACAGGAGGGACTGCCACCCCTAAGGTAGCTAATTCCTAGAGATAGTAAACAACTGGTGTGCACCTTTCCTATGCAAACCCACCAATCCAGAGCATATAATCCGGATGCACTCTGGGCCACTATCCACCTGTCCCAATCACCCCAGGGCCAGGTACCAGACATCTAGGGACAGTCCCTATAACCCATAGCCTGCTGAAAGTATTCAAACTAGCCAATCCTAAGGCTGCTTACCGTTTGGCTTTCCCAAGCAAACCACAATAAAGGTTCCCGCCCACATTCTCCCCTTGTGCTGCCTCCTGGCTGACCCTGCACGATGTGGTGTGGCCCCCTGCATGGGACTGTGAGTGACAAACTGCCTTTCCAGGGGCAGTTATCTCCTGGCCTGTGGCCTCACTCAGCCTACATAATAATAAAACCTATGTTCTAATATACCTGTAAACACCACTGGAGCATGGGTCATCCCGGCTGCTTTGTTCCTCCCTGTGAATCTTGGCACCTAACACGATCCCTTGCACACGGCAGACACAATTTAAATGGTAATTAATGCATGGATGGACGGATGGATGGACGGTGGACAGACAGAGGGATGAAAGCCAAGTGCTGGGTGGAAGCACCTATTTGGCTACATGGATTTCCTGCACGTCAGTCTCACTTTCGCAACCGCCACAGGAAACTAAATTCTGTGTCTGTCTCGGCTCTGTGACTGGCGTGGATGTCGGGGGTGCAGGCCAGAGGAAGCGACGCCAGTCCTCGCTGGCAGGAGTCAGCCGTGGTTAACCTGTGGCTCACCAGCCCCCTTGCATTCGGCTTTTCAGGTCGCTCAAGTGTGAAAAAAAGGCTTTTCTTTCAGTGGGGCAATTTTCTAGCTAACTCTGGATATTTTGTTTTCTTTTTTTTTTTGAGACAGAGTCTCACTCTGTCGCCCTGAGTAGAGTGCAGTGGTGTTGTCATAGCTCACTGCAACCTCAAACTCCTGGGCTCAAGCGATCCTCCCACCTCGGCCTCCCGAGTAGCTGGGATACAGGTGCGCACCACGATGCCCAGCTAATTTTTCTATTTTTAGTTGAGCTGGGGGTCTTGCTGTCACTCAGGCTAGTCTCGAACTCCTGAGCTCAAGTGATCCTCCTGCCTCAGCCTCCCAGAGTGCTGGGATAACAGGCGTGAGCCACCGTCCTGGGCCTCCGTGTTTGCTGTTTCTGATGACCAGCTGGGTTCCTCAGTTCTCAGGAGTGAACAGCTCCCCAAAGGCCATCCCTTCCCCAGGCCCAAGACAGAAGGACAGGAAGCATTCCACCACAGTGCACGGACAAGGAGGCTAGGGACGCTGGGGGACTGCCCGCGAGCTCACCGGAGGGGAGGGCTGTCAGTAGAGTGACTATGCAAACTGGTTTACCCAGAACAGAACCAGTTTATGGTTTGTAATAGGCATTGTCCCAGTGTAATTATTAAACTCACCTCTTCTCTCTCAAAAACATCTTGCTTTGATAAAGCATACAATCATCCTCAATGTCAGGGATTTTGCAGATGGGAGAGTCTGAGTTCGGAGGCTAACAACCAACAGAGGCTGGTCAATTTGTGTGTACAAACAGGAGTTCAAGGCCCAGCACCCAGCCCTGCAGACGGCAGGGACAATTATCCAAAGGGAGCAGAGCCTGACCTTGGCCCTGGGGGACTCCACTGTAAAGGAGGGATTACCTGGGCTGGCGAGGGCAGCCTGGCCCCCGTGCCCCTCATCCGCAGCCTCGCCACCCAAGAGTGGGCTCCAAGACCACGTTTCTTTCCCCTCGTTGAAGTCTCAGGCCAGAGTTAACAAGTCCAGCTCAGGGTCGGAGCAGAGAGGAAAGGGTTAGGATTTGTCCCCAGATGGGCTCTGGGAGAAGGCGACCATCCCACCAACTCCACCCTCGGCGCATGCCTTGTGCTACTGCCCTGTTCAACACCACCTCGTGCTGCCATGGGGACCCTGAACAATTTCCCATTTGTCTTTTTTTCCTTCCTGGTTGAGATCTTGTTGCTGTCCAGATGAACTATGTATCTGTGTTGCATGAAATGTCATGGACTTGGGCAAAAGCAGGACCCACCCACATCCAAGAAATAATAACCCTTTGATGACACACACACAAGCTCCCTGAAGCTTTAGAGGCTGCCAGGGACTGACTGGCCTTCTCCAGCACTGAACTTGCTCTCAAGAAGTACTGAACCCAAAAGGCGACAGACAGGCAACACCCCCAGCAGCCCAAGTTTGTCAGGTCAACGCATGCTTGAGTCAGTTTGCCAAGCGAATCTGTGGATATGCACAACCACTCACCCGAGGTAGGGCAAAGACTTACAAGGTAAAAGGTGGCTACGTGTTTCACCTGTGGCCTCTCATGAAGTTTAATCAAGCTATAAAATGCTCCAAGTGTCCAGTGTTGAAGGAATCTCTGTCTTGTGAACTAAAACTTCAAAGCTATTTGTTTTTATGTAAGATTAGCCATCATGCAAAGCTTACTGGTAAAGCAGTTAACAAAAAAATACAGACCCCATTGAAGGGTTTTGTACATTTCAGTCCTTGCACATAATAAGCAGTTATAAACCCTGCACGGTCCTGAGAGTGGGTTCCTTTGCTTCTTAAAGCTGCCAGTCCTGGCTCTTTGGGGGCTCATGTGTTATAAATTCTGGAAGCTCTTTTATTTATGATATTTATTTATTTTTTTTTTTGAGACACAGTCTCACTCTGTTGCCCAGGCTAGAGTGCCGTGGCATCAGCCTAGCTCACAGCAACCTCAAACTCCTGGGCTCAAGCGATCCTCCTGCCTCAGCCTCCCCAGTAGCTGGGCCTACAGGCATGGGCCACCACGCCTGGCTAATTTTTTTTTTTGTTTTTTTAGTTGATCAGCTAATTTTTTCTATTTTTAGTAGAGACAGGGTCTCGCCGCTCTTGCTCAGGCTGGTCTCGAACTCCTGACCTCAAGCGATCCTCTGCCTCGGCCTCCCAGAGTGCTAGCATTATAGGCGTGAGCCACCGCGCCCGGACCTGGAAGCTCTTTTCGCTGCAGTTTGCGTATCGGGCAGATCTTCTTCCTCTTCCTCGGTTCGCTTGTGTTTTAAAAACAAGTCAGATTTTAAGAAGCGGCTATAGCTGTCGTACTTCATGAGATTGAAGATCTAAGGAGGAAAAGAAAAAGAGTATGAAGGCTGAGGCTAATCCAGGCCATGAATCATCCTATCAAATATTTATTAAATACCTACTGTGTGCCAAAGTATACAAATATGTACAAAGAACACACAAAGAAAGCCATGTGCTAGGCAAGACAGATTTCCTGGATGTTTTGGGTCATTAGCAAGAATCTCAATGGAAAATATAGTTTAGAGAGTCACACGAACAAACATATGTTTATTTTCCACGGAAATACAGACCCACACAGCACTGATTCATACCCTCGCTTCCAGGGGTGCTTTAAGACGCTCCACTTTATTTGGACAGATAACACAAAGACTCACTTCTCCAAGAGCTTGGGACAGCAGACAGAAACTGTGTCTGTAGACGGTGTAAAAAGATCCACGTCATGTTGCATGATGCCAATATTGTCAAGACCCCCGGTGCGTCTGGCATCCAAGATCTCAAACAAACCAATCGTGTGCCAAGGATCAAAATGAGGCTTATTCAGTGCACGGCAGGGGAGTGAAACTAGTCTTAGCAAAGAGAGGATTCAGGAACAAGTCCCAGGGAAAGGGAACAGCAGGCGGCGGCAGAATGCAGCCTCTGCAATCAGACAGGCCGAGGAGCAGAAAGAAACGATTCTAAGGTATGTCAAGTAGGTGAGGAGGACCCCTGACCGAGGCAAATCCTTTGGATTAGGGGGCTGCCCCCCCCCACCCCGCCACCAGGATGGCAGGTACTCAAAGGGCTGTCCCCAGGCATAGACACTTCCTCAGGCCTCCACGGGACCTCCCTTCTGGGCCTCCGTCCCTGTCCCCATCGTCCCCTCTACCCTATTCCTGCCCAATCCTACGCCACCAACCCTCCACCCTCCTCCCTCCTCCCTCACCCCACGAAAGGGCAGGGGAAGAAGAGGCAAAGAGCGTTTTCCAGCTGTTGAGGGGCACGATCTCCTTCTCACCCTTCATCTCTCTCTCTCTCTGACCTTTTGACTTAACTTTCAGGACACTCTGCAGACTAAAATTCTACACGGTGCACGCACCTGGTACCTTCCCTTACTGCACTGACATAGGCCCAACCAAGTGGAAAGTTCCAGCAATGTCTAGAATGCCACTCACTGCCAGGCGGGGTTGTCAAGTGGGTGGTAAAACCCTGACATCTTTTAAACCCTCCCTCTGCCAACACATGCTCGAACTAGTTTGTAAATTAAACATCTGATGGATTCAAAGGACTCAGAACATCTGCTTGGGGGATGGGAGGTGCCCCAGAAGGCGGGGTGGGGTAGGACAGGACAGGAGTCGGGTAGAGGGGATACTGGGGACGGGGACGGAGGCCTTTACAGCTTCATTTTCCCAAGATGGCTTCAACCACAGCAGAACCGCCACAGTCATTTTGCTATAAGCAGAGTCCACAACTCAGGGAAAGACTTAGGACTTTGGCTTTTCTATAAACCATTAAACTAGTGCCTACCTGTCCCCTGGTGACCTGCCGGTCTTGTCCAAGCTCTCCAGCTGCTCAGAGAGACCCTGTCCCCTTAAGACCCCATCCTGTGTCTCTCTAGAGCACTTACCTATTTTGTAGCAATCTTGTAATCCTAGATGTGATTGCAATTTGCTGAGGTTTGGAGGAAAAAAAATTTTTTTAATCCCAAAAAACACAAAAATCATAGCCAGGGATGAGACAAAGGGTGAGGAACGCCGTTATCCTTTTGTGGCCTCCCACCAGTGTGCTAGGCAGGTGTCGCCATCCCTCACCACCTGCATTATTCAGCCCTTCCAGGCACAAGAGCCCCCAAAGGGAACCTGTAGATGCCCACCTAGTTCAACATCTGGAACGGATGCTCCAAGTGTGACTAACAAAACCGACCTCACGAGGGCCCCTCCTGGCACCCAGCCCCGTGCCCACTCCCACACCAGGTCCATGGCAGGTGGGACCCTCCACTCCGAGCAGGATGCGGTACACCCCAGGCGTGTCGTGTGAGGTCTCCACGTGTGGGAGAGGAACATCCTGTTTGCCGGTCGTGGCTCTGAGGTTCAGACTTCAAAGGGGAGAAGAAAAAGACTGGCTGGAGGCACCCAGGGCAGGGGAGGAGGGGAAGAAGGAGGCTGCTTCAGGTGGGAGGTTGGCTCGGGTCTGCAGGGGGGCTGAGAAGAGGTGCAGGCTCTCCTTCCCACTCCTCCTGCCCAGTCAGCTGGAGGGCAGGGGGCTGGGAACTATTTAACAAGAGCATAAGGGCCATGCCCTGCCGTGGCAGGTGTGAAATGCCCCAGGAGTGCAGAAGTCCTTCAGGCTGGGGCTTCCTCCTCCAGGAGCCCTTCAGAGTCACCTGGAGGCAGCTGCGGCCATCAGACCCAGACAGACTTGAGGGAGGAAAGGATGTCACCCCCAGTGGCTTCATCCTCAAGGCCACGAGGAGCCGATCGCGCTACGCGGGGTGCACAGGGCTGGCTTCCCACTGCCACCAGCACAGGGCCTACTGGGTCCTGGCCTAGAAGCACACGGCAACGGGCTGCTCCCATCACAGAGCCCTCAGGGAATGGCGCGCAGCAAAGATGGCTCAGAGGATGGAGAACGCACCTAAAAACCTCTTCCAAGCAAGCGGCCAAAGATGGTGCACCCAGCTCCCGACGAGTCATTTACCATAGGATAAATGGCCATGACTGGTCCGATAAAAGTCTGCCAAGTGGGTGAACAGAAACCACGCCCTGCACAAGAGCAGAGGGCCGGGGAAAGGACCCGGGTCGCACCAATCAGCCGACAAGGCCTTCTGCCCCACGCCGACCAGCCGGAGGGGCACTGGCTCCTCCCATCTCGGTCTCTCACTCAGCCCTCACCGCTGCCCTACGAGGACCCTGGTTCTACAGAGAGGAAATAGGAGCTCAGAGGTGCAGTTTCCCCACGGGTCTGGAGGTCAAGGTGCCATCGGAGCTGGTTTCTTCCAAGGCCTCTCTCCGTGGCGCGTAGATGGCTGTCTCCTCCCTGTGTCCTCATGTGGGCTTCCCCAGGCATGTGTGTCCTCATCGCCTCTTCTTACAGGGACACCAGTCAGATTGGATAAGCGCCCACCCCAATGACCTCATTAAACATTAATGACCCCTTTAAAGACCCTGTCGCCCCATAAGGTCACAGTCTGAGGCACTGGGGGTTAGGACTTCAACATGTGCATTTGAGGAATGTGGAGGACAGTTCAGCCCATACAAGTGAGCAAGGGATAGGTGGGCGGCAGACCCTGGCCGGCTCTGGCGCCCACACTCCTAACCACTGGGCCTCCTGCCACTCACGCGGCCTGGCAGTACGCTGTCATTACCAACGAGGTCTGCAAAGAGAGTTTAACGTGGAAAACTGTCCATGAATGTGACGTGACTAATACTAAATTTTAAAAATGCACCAAAACTAAAAGCAAGGATCCCAAATATGTTCTTTAAAAGCACCTCTGTGTCTATAAATGGAAGCTAAATACCCCCAAAGGTCGGCACTGGTTTGAATGGTGTCCCCACAAAACTTACATCCACCTGGAACCTCAAAATGTGACCCTATTGGGAAATAGGGTTAAGGATCTCAAAATGAAATCATCGTGCCTTTAGGGTGGGCCCTACAGTGACAGGCACACGGGGGGGAGAAGGCCGTGCAGACACAGAGCTCAGGGGGAGGCAGCTGCAAGCCAAGGACCAGCGAGGATCGCAGGCAGCCACCAGCTGTCTGAAGGCTGAGAAGAGGGGAGAAAGGACGCTCCCCTGGAGCCTTCGGAGGGAGCACAGCCCTGCCAACACCTTGCTTTCAGATTTCTCACCACCTGAATGGCGAGAGAGCAAGTTTCTGCTGCTTTAGGCCTCTTGAGTTGCAGTCATTTGCTACGATAGCCCCGGGAAACGAACACGGTCGGCTTATGGATTTCCACTCACTCCTGCTCCACACAGAACCTGAGCTGGCCCCGGGGGTCCCAGACGGCTCTACAAGTACAGACTCCCTGCCGGGGAGAACGGGCCTCCCCAGGGCTGGGCTGCGACCAGGACCTGAACAACATGGTCAGACACCCTCAGTGTCTGCAGGGAAGAGAAAGAAGAAAATGCTGACGTCTGGGACAGGAGAAGGCTTGAGGTAGGTGGAAGGCGTCAGAGCAGAGCTGAGGCAGATCCTCCCTCATCCTGAGGGACAGATGGGCCACTGCCGAAGCGGAAAGCTCAAGTTGGCAGCTGAACCACATTCTGCATTTTTTTTTTTTGTGGCCAAGACAGCTGTGGCTTAGCAAGGTTTCGGGTTTGGGCAGCCCCCACATCTGCAAGCTGCATGCCTGGACTGTAAACTGTTTAGCGCCGTTGCCTGGGGACCCAATCCTGCAGGCTGCTGGAGATGGGGCTAGGAGGAAAGTGAGAAGGACCCGTCCTGCAGATGTGCAATGCTGCGCGGTGTCCTGTGACACAAGGTCATTACGCCGCCAAGGCACCTCTCCCCCTCCAGACCCCAGACTGTGCAGTGACTAATTAGGATCTGCCTTCCTGTGCTGAAAAATATCCACGCAGTGCTCCGACTTCAGACGGGTCAAACTTTGCTGCTGTCGGTCAGGGCTTCCTCACTGAGCACACTCATCCATGTGGACAGTGAGCAGCTTCACTAGCCTTGCAGGCCCCTGCATGAACATTTTGTCATCGTCTTGATTCACTGCATTTCGAACCTAATAATCGTTTTAATGCTTCCCGGAAGACAAGTACCGTTGAAGACCTAAACAAAACATGCATCCTCTCTTCTCGAAACCCTCTGCCATGTTATTTCGATCAGGTACAAGGAGAAAAAAATAATCCTTTAAGGCAATGTAAATTGTATTGACAGCATTTCATATTTGTTTCAAGAACTTGGCTTTGTATGAAAATTGCTGAAAGGAGGCAGCACGCGCTGCTGTGTCTGGACTGCAGCTCTAGAACCTGCTCTCTCCCCACGTACCTAGACTACAGACATGCTTTCGTTCCCACACGAACAGGCAGAAGTGGGAAGAAAGGAAGCTCCCGTCCCTCCAGCCCTGAGAATTGGCCGGGCATCAAAGACACAGGGATGTGCCCACGCCCAAAGTGATGGCCACCTCCCCTTCTTCTCTAGAAGGAAAGGGGTGCACCCCGGAGAGGGTCTGAGGTCGGCTGGCGGAAAGGTGAGAAGACACGGCAGCGCGAGTCCGCCCTCGCCCCGCGGTGCCAGGGCGGGCCACCCAGAAGGCTCTGTCACCCTGGACAGCACTTCTGCTTTGTAGGCAGGCCAGCCGCGACGGAGGATGTGCCGGAGCAGGATCAGAACTCCAGAAAGAGGCTGGACACGGACAGAGCCAGAGATGCCCTGCTTGGGGCAAAATCCCCTCACAGGCGCGGGGGTCCGGTGGCGTTGCGCACATGGGGCCGTTTGCCCACTTCTTCCCGGAGCCCGTATTGCTCAAATTCTAGACCCACATGGCATGACATGCTTTCTGCTTGGAGAGAAGGCATTTTATTTTTGCCTTTTGCCATCAGAAGGGGAATTAAGTGCTCTTCTGGCACCGGCTCTTCCCTCCTCTTCCCCATTTTAAAGTTGTAAAGAAAAATCTCTGGCCAGGCATGGTGGCTCACGCCTGTAATCCTAGCACTCTGGGAGGCTGAGGCGGGCGGATCGTTCTGAGCTCAGGAGTTCGAGACCAGCGTGAGCAAGAGCGAGACCCTGTCTCTATCAAAAAATGGAAAGAAATTAATTGGATAGCTAAAAATATATGTAGAAAAAATTAGCCGGGCATGGTGGCGCGTGCCTGTGGTTCCAGCTACTCGGGAGGCTGAGACAGTAGGATTGTTTGAGTCCAGGAGTTTGAGGTTGCTGTGAGCTAGGCTGATGCCACGGCACTCGCCCCAGGCAAGAGAGTGAGACTCTGTCTTAAAAAAAAGAAAGAAAAATCTCTAAGTATTTGCAACGCTGTCCTGCATGCCCCACCCCTCATAAGGCAGACGGCTAAGGTAGACAAGAAGGGCCGACTTTCCTTCCAGTAGAACGAAAAACCACAACCTGCCTCTTCTAGCTTAGCATGCTGGAAAATACCCACTTCTGGCCCGGGTTTGATCTTTTGGAGCAAATGTCAGCTGGTGCCCATAAGATGAGGTGTCCTGAATCCCTGGCTTTTGTCACCACCATGGCCCAGGAGAGGGGACTGTGACCATGCAGGAGACCTCAGGCCAAGCTTGAGAAATAAGGGGAAAGAAGCGGCTGGGAGTGGGAACAGACCCCCAAATGACCCCTGTAGGCTGGCAGCCCCACCCCCACCCCGGGTCCTCATCTTCTTCTTTGTGTCGGGAAAGGAAGCGTTTCTCACCTCTTGGCTTCTGGGGAAATTCAAAGAAACGACACTGCTAAAAAGGGGGCCCTATTTATGGTTCCTCTCTCTGTCAAGGATGTGGCTGGGAGCACTGACATCTCACGGAAATCTTTTTAAATTTTTTTTAAGCATCAGAGGTTGAGGACTTCCTTTTGAATGGTGAAAGCCGCCTCCACTCTGCCCTTTCCAGACTAGACTCTAGTGCCAGCCTGGTGAGGGCAGCCTGGCGGCTCACGAAATCTGCTTTTACTATAGGCATTGGGATCCCTGAAGTTTATAGAAGGATGAGCACCCCAGCCCCCAAACCTGCACCCCTCTCTTACATGCATGAGAAAGCAACGACCTAAAGCTGCCGTGTGCAAAGATCTGGCCTTTCTGTCGTCGCAAATCCCAAGGCTGTTCCAGAACACACCGTACTGTGTAATTTAAACCAGGGGCTTCGGAGCAAGCAAGGTGTGCGAATTGGTGCTGAGAAACTTGTAGAAGCAGAAGTTTGTTTTAAATCTTTCATATGGCACAACTTGGAGTCACTGAGCAGGCTGCCAAGTGTCTCATTCTTAAATATTCTAGGTAGGGTCTGAAATGACCGACGACATAACAGATTTCCCACTGGGGAAGAAGAGGGAAGAGGCAGGACCTGGGAGTTTTAACTTTTCACTTCATACCTTCATACGTGAATTTCCTTTTTCTTAACAATGAACATGGACTCATTCAACAATTTTAAATAATTTTAAAAATTAACTTGTACAGAATCCTGCATGACATAATAACAGGCCAGATCCCGCGTGCCCTATACAGCTCGTGCTGGCATAGCCGGCTCCTATCCTGGATGTGTCTGTGGAGTTTCTAGCCACAAGGGTTGGCAGGACACATGTGTTCAAACGACATACTGGCAGGGCCAGCACAGACTGATGTTGTCATTTCTTTTTCAAAGAAAAGCATGTTAGCCCCGTGACTAATTGGAACTCCTCGTGGTATGGCTGATGCGCAGTGCCTGAGTAGCAGATGGAAATGCTCTGGAATCAGCCAGGGCTAGAGGTACGGACAGCACGCGGAGCAAGGGACAGGAACGTGGGGGAGAGCATCGGTCGTTAGGCCGAGGCAAACGCTGCCTGTCCCAGCTCCCATGAAAGGAAAATGGCAGCACAGACTAGAGGGGAGAAATAAGGACTCAAAGGTGAGCAACTATGTTTCCAAATGCTACTGCTTCACATGGAGAACGGCTCTCTTCGGGTGGTGGTTTGGTAGGAAGGGTCCGGCTGAACCAGATGTCCTGGGCTCAAGTTCTGTCCCCTCCCCTCCCCACTGTGTGACCTTGGGCTGGTGACAGGGCTGCCCATACCAGTAAACTCTCAACCGTACGCAGAGGCGCTAGGTCCACCTCCCACAAAACTACCTGAGAGTCAAATGAGATGCCAGGAAAACGTATCGGGTGAACTATAAACTTAATGCTCTCCCAGAACTCGCTAAATTGTAGAAGGCTGACAGGTGGGGACCCGAGGCACGTTCTGGAAACCCACATCCAGCCAGGGCTGCTCCACCTCAGCACTCCTGGCATCTGGACCAGATAATTCCGTGTTGCAGGGGCCATCCTGACACCTCAGGGTGTCTAGCAGCTTCCCTGGCCTCAGTTCTGGGAAATCCTGAGGCTCCAAACATGTTCCTCGCAGCTTCAATCTCTTGCACTTAGAAAAACTGGGCTCTCGAGGGGGCTTTTGGGGAGCAAAGAACCATGGACCGTGCTGAGCACACACTTTGGCAGTTTCCACCAAGGCCTCTCCTGAGTTGTCCAAAGCGAACTGAACCCGGGGGCCCTTCTCGGGGACCCGCTGTGAAATCAGCTCTGATTGCAAACACCTTGCTTTCACCCAGGTATGCCTCAGGAGGATAGTTAGTGCCTCTTTTTCCCTCTTTCTCTTTCAAATAAATGATTTTTTTTTAAATTTCAGCATATTATGGGGCTACAGATGTTTAGGTTACGTATGTTGCCCTTGCCCCCTCCCCCAAGTCCGAGTTTCAAATATGTCCATTCTTCGGGTGGTGCACATTGCACTCTTTGTGTATGCAAATAAATGATTTTTAACAACAGGGTATAACTTTCTTTACACTCAATAGTTTGGACTGCACATCTGTGTGTGCACAGACACAGCCATTATTATTACGTGTATTATACCACATGGGTCACGTGTGTGCATGCGAGTATTTATACAAAAAAGGTGGACGGTCCACAGAGCAAATGTTACTTAGTGGTTATCTCCAGGTGTGGAGTCATAAGGGGTATTTTCCTCTTTATACTCTGGTTTTCCAAGTTTCTTTTATTGAGCATGTGTGATGTTTAAAGTTAGGTAGATAAAAGTTATTTTTAAAAAATTTTTCTTTGTCACTAGAATTTAAAAAAAAACAAAAACAAAAAGCAGCCTCCGTCCCGTGTGTTTCCTCTATTTTGTGCCAGCTAAAGCTCCCAATGCACGGCTCTAATGGGATGTGCCTGGTCACAGAGGCCCGGCTCTGCTTTGAGATGTGTTACAGGAGAGCTGGAGCCTCTCTGCCCTCCTGGGAAATGGGACGGCCTGTATGCACTCACACAGCCTTTCCAGTCCTTCTGCTCCAGGGCCTCAAGGGGCTTTGAGAAACAGCGAGAGGCTGCCCAGGAGCCTGGGACACCAACACAGGCCATGGCCCTGGGGGAGCGCCTCGGAAGGCAGGTAGACGAGCGCGAATCCAGCTTCCACACTTCCCACTACCTGCGTGACTCAATGACCACTCAGACTCCCTGCGTCTAGTTTCCTCGTCAGCAAAATGGGAACAACAACACTCGCTGGAGATTACATGAGACAGTACATGCCAAGTGTGGCATCAGGCTCAAAAGGGCACCCAAAATGGCAGACACTGTTGTCATCGTGGAGAATACCTAGACCACAGGGGCAGGTTCTCAACCCTGGCTGTACTTTAAAGTACCTTAGGGAGCTTTTAAAAGATTTTGAGGTCCAGGGCAGGACGCTATCCCCACGTGAAATGGCCTTCGCACCGTACATTCCACCTCCTTTCCCTCCGCAAATCCATGTCTACGTTTCCTTCTCATTGGCTTGAAACCACCGCCTCCAGGAGGCCCTCGGCAAGTCTCCCCCGCAAACTGGAGTTCCTTCAACAACCAAACCTGATCCAGAATTTATGTGGAATATGTCACCAAATGTTAAACTTTTCATTGTGACTCAAGGGCCACACTACAAACTAGCTTACAGTATTGGGCCACCAGAAACGGGTGGAGGTGTTTGGATATTTGCACAAATTTCCCTGGCATGTTCAGCCCTCATGCTTGCTTTCTAGATTTTTCTGTCTGTTCCTACCTTCAATAGTTACCACATGCTGCTTCCTCAGTGTTAGTTCCTCAAATAGCCCTGGCCTCCTTTCTGATCTGGGCTGAGGAGATAACCCTGACTCCTGTGGGTTTTGACCTCGAACCTGGGAATCCAGTCCCTGCTCTTTCACAACCATGGCCCCTCTGTGTGCATCCATTTGCCCAGCCGGATGTCTAGAGAGTCTCACATTTGGTGTTTTACTGAATTCTTCCAGGCCTGGAATAAATGCAGGTTTTCAAATCAAGGTGCAGGCATGGAAGTCGGATTACCTGGTCCTGGAGTTTCTGGAACATCAGAGGATGTGGTTCTTCCAGAATCTTTTCATTGAGCTGAGACTGTCCCTCCACGTTGACTTGTGAGGAGGCCTTGCTGGACAGAAAGGTCGTGTAGATCTCCCTTGCCTTTTCCTGCATCTGGAGGAGACAGAGGGGGCCTGTTTGTCATCTGTGAGCACAGCCTTCCCGGCCCAAGCCCTGCCGTCCCCTCCAGCCAGGCCCAGGAGGAGCTGCCGTGGCAAGAGGGGGCTCTCGCTGCCAGCCCAGGATGAAGCTCTGCCTGGGAGGGACGGTGCAGCCTCGCCCCTGCCCCTCGTGCGTCTGTGGGCACATGTCCTGTAATGACGCTGCTACGCCGACCATGCAGAAATGATGGCAGAAAGAACCCTGGCCCACACTGAGCACACGGTACCATTCAGGACCATCCTGTGACTTCTCCGAATTAAGGGCTCATAGGAATATCATTCAGTCATAAAAGGAACGAAGCACTGACACGTGCTACAACAGGGATGAACCCTGAAAACGTGATGTTAAGTAAAAGGAGCCCGACACACAGGGCCACGTATGGTCCGATTCCATTTACACGAAACATCAGAATGGGCAGATCCATAGAGACAGAAAGACTAACGGTTGCCAGGGGCTGGGGAGAGGGAGAGACGGGGAGTGGCTGCTGATGGGTAAGTGTGTGTCTGTTGGAGGTGACAGAACTGGATTGCAGTGATGGCTGCACAACACTGTGAACATACTTAATGCCACTGAATGGTATACTTTAAAATGGTTAAAATGGTAAAAGGAAGAACACTAAAAAATTATTAAAGTGGTGAATCTTACGTTACGTGTACTTTACCACAATAAAAAAAGTCCTGTTGAACGAGGTACACATATCCCCTAGCAGTTACCAAGCACAGACTCACTGCAGGCATGTGCTAGATGGGGTCCCATATCCTCAATCCCCTGGACAACCAGGAAAATACCATGCTCCTATTAGCACCACTTTCCTGATGAGGACACAGAGGTCAGGAGAGGTGACTCAGCTCATTCGAGGAGCCTGCAGGGAGACTGAGGGCTGTCTGGCTCCAAAGCCTTTCTGTTCAGCTCAGTTCCACCCCCTGGCGACACATTAGCCCCTCCAGGTTGTGCAGCCCGTCGGCCTTCCAGGGCAGGGTGTTTCTCGCTCAGGTAATGAGATACCGAGTGGAAGCAACAGCGAGAGCATCCGCTGCCCGCCCCACAGTCCCAAGTGCAGTCCTGCTGGGAAGCGCGAGCCCTAAGTAGGCACCAGCTGCCTTGTGCATCGTGGGGGCAGAGTGGAAAGACACGGCCCATGACTCGGTTCCACCCAAAACCAGCCGTGGCTGTCTCAGGAACACTCTCTGACGGCGGGGAGACGGATGTCACAGTAAGTACTTAGTCTTCAAAGCAGCGTGCTTCGCGGAGGGACTGTAGACACAGGAGCCGGCCCCTCTGGGACTTCCCCTGACAGGTCTATTTTCTTTTAAAGAAAGGAGACTTCCTGTGCACGTACCTCGCTGGCAGCAGAGATGGGGGCTGTTTCTCTAAATGTTGATGTCTAAAGCTTACCTTACCCTACAGAGCAAGGCAGGTGCTAAATGCCTCTGAGACGCAGCTGCATACCTAGGGTGTGTGGGGAGAGGCGTGGGGGCTGGGGGGGCCTGGAAAACTGTCCCTCTCTCCAGAAAGCCCACCTGGGGCTCTGTGTGTGCTATAGAGCTTGGCTTAGAAAATCCCGGGCTTGGAAAACCTCCTGACCTTATGGAAACCACTAGAAAGCTTCGCTAACTGGTGCCTAAAAGCAGAGAAAAGTAGCCCTTTTTTAGTTCTGGGGACTGATGACAAAAGACCCCAAGAGGCCACAGCCCTGCCACCTTCTGCTCTCCTGAGCAAGCGAGTCTTGCCAGTGCTCGCAGGAAGCCTGCCCAGGTGGGACCATCACCCCAAGCTATGGCGTCCACTCTTGCTTGACCATGATCATAAGTGATTAGTTGATGTCAGCATCAAGGACCAGGTACACATATCCCCAGAAGTTATCAAGAGCCTACTTGCTGCGGACACGGGTAGGTGTGGTCCCATATCCTAAATCCCCTGGACATCCAGGAAAGTGCCATTTTCCTATTAGCGCCACTTTCACGATGAAGACACAGGGGCCAGGAGAGGTGACACGGCTCATTCGAGGAGCTGGCAGGGAGTCTTAGGGCTGTCTGGCTCCAAAGCCTTTCCTCCAGCTCCTGGAGCCTCTTGAGATAAATGTGGCTGTCCCAGGAGAGAGGTCTGGGCCCCATCAGCAAGAGCCCGGTGGGGCTGCTGTCTGGACTCGCTCGCCTCTCCAACACCCATCAGCTCCACAAAGCTGTGAGCCCCCCACCTCCACCCCCATCTGTCAGTAAGGAACATTTTTGGAAAACCACTTCCTGTTTGAAAGCTACTTCATGAAAGCAGAATTTCAGCCAGTCAGATGAGCAAACTCCATGCAGAGCTCTGTGGGCAGAAATCATTTTAGGCTTCCCTTCCCTTGAACGTTAACACACACACACATACACACAGGCACACACACATGTGCACACTGACCAGGTGAATCCAGGCTGTCGTGAGTGGTTCTGAAACAGAGAATGTAATGAGTGTCTCGAGGCTTCGTGGTGGGGCGGAAGGGTAGAGGAAGCAGGTCCCAGGGGCTGCAGGTAGATGAGCCTCTGGGTGTCTCAGCCCCGCCCTCTCTTGCCAGAGTCTGAGGACAGTGTGGGTCCCGAGACGCCAGCTGCCCAGACACACACCGGGGCGGCCGCGGCAGCAGAGCTTATCTCGGGAAGGGAAACCCTGAGACTGCCGACCGCAAGCCGGTCACGGGAAGGCCTGGTGGTGTCGGAGCTGAGAATACTTAACAAAAAACAAGAACCAGTCTCTTGAGCTATTTTGGTAGATTTTTCCAGAGCTTTGTTAACCCTATTCTAGCTACTGTCAGGATAGGAACAGAACAGTGACCCACTGGTGGAGTCAGTCCTGGGTCTGTGACCTGGAAGGGCAGCCGGGACCGGCCACGGCAGAGACCAAAGGGCCCCATCCTCCCTTTGGAGACCAACGTGCCCATCACCCAACCCGGCCCCAGGAGGTGCTGGGAAAGGACCTCGCCTGGGCCCATCCACTTGGGGACTGCCCATGGGAGCGCTGCACCCAGTGAGCTCCTTCCAGACACCCCACGAGTCTGGGCCTTTCTTCTAGGCCCGGCTACGCCTCAGCGGTGAGGCCGCTCAGTCAGAAGTCAGCGCTCGAACCCCGCTCCTAACGGGTGTCTGATCAGGAGAAGCAAATCCACCTTTCTGTCAGTCCCCAACACACACATCTGCGCAGACAAACAGCAACGACATAGAAACCCAAAGCTCAGAAGAGACCCGGCTCCTCTCCCTCCCCCAGTCAGCAGCTTAAACTTGTCCCACTGGGTGAACAAAGCAAAACTCCCTTTGCCGTGACATCCCCCTATGTGGGGGCTGATGGCCTCCCCACCTCCAATTCCCTGTTGAGATCTCAAAAGAAAAGCACGTCTCCATCTTCCCTCCATCCATTCCTTGGTCCCCTGCCAGCGCGGCCCCTGCCAGCTCCCTGGCACCCATCCTGCTAAGCCCTGCCCTGCTCACCGCTCACTCCCACCTTCTTCCTCTTCCCACCCCCTCACTGCCAGGGCCCCGTCCCCTTGGGTTCCCCAAGACCTCCCGGTGTCTCTCTGTCTCCTTTACTGCCTGCTGTCCCTCTGTCCCCTCCATAAGCTCTGGAGTTTCCCAGAGTTCTGCCCTGGGCTGACAACTTTAACTACACACTCTCCCCCGGATGTCAGCCCAACCCTCTTCCCCGAGCTCCTGACCCCCAAAGCCAGCGGATTTCTAGCAATGTGGATACACATGTCCCACGGACACCTCCAGCTTAACACAGAGGAAAAGAGTGGTCCCTCTTGGGCAGCGGGTCCTACAGCCTCTGCTCTGGGAAGCCGAAAGCCGCATCCGCATCCCGCCTGCCACCACGCGCTGCTCCTTCCCCTCCCGGCCCCACCTCCAATCAGCCTGTCCTCTGCATCCCAGTGCCCTGCCAGAGACGGGCATGGGAAGGAGAACACCGCAGCAAATGAAAGGATCGAGCTGCTAACTGCGTTAATATCAGTTTCAGAAGGAGGAAGAGGAGGAAAAAATATCAAATAAATGACACAAGAGTATGTCCAAGAACAGGCTCAGGAATAGCAGGTGACTGCAGACAGCAAGGAGGACAAACCCAGGCACCTGCCAGGCTGGGAGGGAACTAGGGGACTGCCGATGGCAACCACACCCAAAGAGGGCAGGGACTGGAGGTGGGGGGGTGGGGAGGGACAAGCCAGATGGAAGAGCGAGGCTGGCGGCAGGAGCCACTCACTAGACCCCCAGGTCCTCGACCCCCACCTGACCCTGAGCCGCCAGGTGACTTCTTCAACAGGAGACTGGAGTTTTTTTCATAAAGACATGAACTTGGGAAGGCTCCAGAATAGAGGCGAGAAGGAGGGTGATGAGACGTCAAACTGAATAGAGGGACTCGGGGAAATTCCAGCTGCAGACCCTCCAGCAAACTCCTCCGACCCCGATACATTAGTTTATGAACGTACCAGGCTTGCGGCCGGCCCACTAGGGCGAGACTAGAGGGCCCTTGTCTGGAAAAACAAAAAACAAAAGCAGAAAAAATTCAACAGAAGGATTTGAAGATAAAATTGAAAAATCTCCAAAAGCCAAAAAGACAAGAAAATAGGAAGGAAAAAAGATAACATTAAAGGCCCAGTCCAGGGCTGAAGGGCCATCACTGGAAAAGAGACCAGAGAAAAGAGGAGGAAAAAAGCGACTACAATAATAACAATAACAGCAGCAACTTAGGAGCCTGTCCCAGACCTGCGGCGTCCAGACCCCAAGGCTCCGCAGAACATGAGCCGAGCTGCCTTCCCTCCAAAGCCCCGCTTTAGTGTTAGAACATTGATGATGAAAAGAAGATCCTATACTATTCCAGGGAGAACGAAAGCAAAACAAAACCGTTTACCTATAAAACACTGATTTGCAAGAAAAGCCACGGACAAGGAAACAATGTCTTCAATATTCTGAGTTTTGCCCTAGAATTCT